AGTAGCACTGTATAGAAGTAAGAAAGGATACAGAAGATAATATAAAGGCTTGCAGAGCACATAGTTGTAATACCAGTATGTGGCACCGACAGACATTCTGACAGCCCCCAAATTCCAGGAAAGTATTGACAGCATAAACAGTTATTACCAACACATTCCTAAGCTTCCCCAGGGTTAATCCACAATTTAGATTGCTTCTAAGTGAATATAGTATAAAAGAGCAGGCAGTTTCATAGTTCAATTAGGGATATCTTTATAATGAAAGCAACTAATACTTATTGAGGTGCTAACTTTATAACAGGAAATATGCTGGGCTTTCAGAAATATATAACAATGAAATAATCACAATAACTCTGCAAGATAGGTATTATATGGTATTTTCATAAATGTGGCAGCATATATAATAAACCTATCTTACACAGCTATTAAATGTCAGAATTGGAATTTAAATACAGTTTTGCCAAAATAAGATCTAGTCCTCTTTCCACTGTCATGTCAAATATATGAGACTGGACTGAATAATGGTCTATAGAAATAGGATGACAGCCTGCTGGAAAATTGGTAACAGCCAGTATAGATGATATGAAGACAGATTTCAAGGTTCATGTGGTAGGTCATTCAGTTATAGGCTTAAAGTTATAAAGTCCAGATCTAAAGTATTATTTTTAAAAATATAATCATTAAACAACATTAAAACTTCAATTTAAAAAACTGAAAAACTATCCTTAAATGCTAACTATGATCACCTTGACAGAATATCATCTTCCAGATATTTTACATTTTAGTTGGTATGCACACCTTTCACAAGCATAAAACTCTGTTCAGTTTTTTATTCTATTTCAGTTCCTCTGCTTAAAATAGTTGCCATTCTAAACGCCTTGAATAAATTTCAAGCATATTCTAACATTAGACTGTTATACAATGTTTACTCTGTGCAGCTTTGATAAACACTGGATATATAAAAGTGAAATAAACTCTTGGCCTCAAGAAGTTCACTGTCCACTGGTATAGACAAAGTTGCCAAAAAATAACTACAGTGTGACATGGTAAGTGGATAACAGAGATATGGGAAGGGAAGCAGGGTAACTGAAGATGGGGCTAGACAAGTAGATTAGAATCTTAAATGCCACACAGAGAATTTGGACCTCATTTTTTTCTATGTACCAGAGTTACACTGAAGATTTCAAGTGGAGATCCATGAATACATTTGTTTTAGAATGTGGATTAAAGGAAGTAAAGTCAAGAGTCAGTGAGATCAACAGGAAGATTTTGCAACTGTCCGGGCTAGAATTCCATTCTGGTCAAACATTTGTTAAACATTAAATGTACCAAGAACAGAATCAGGCTGTCAAAAACACATACGACTGGTTCTCAAGAGCACTTTCTGGGGTATGGGAGGTACAGATCAGTAACTCAGCAGTAACGGTGAGGGTTAGTGATGGAATTAGAATAGTGGCTATAGCAATGAATAGAGGGAACAGATTCAAAAGATACTTCAGGCACAGAAAAATAAGGCTTGCTAACTGATAAAATTCAGTATCTGAGGGCCAGCTAGGAATCAAGGATGCTTTCTTGGTTTCTAGCTTAGACTTGATGCCCATTTATTGAAATAGGAAATACAAGAACAAGGAGTTTACAGTCACCTGCTACCCTTCCCCTTTTCTTCCAGAGACATCTAGAACATTACCAAAATCATCAGATAATAAGGTTTCCAGAATTCAAGCATTACCAAAATCATCAACTACTAAACACACCTTAGGAGGGAAAAATTTAACTTTGACAGAATATTACAATATGGAGATACAGATTAATACTGTCAGAAAAAATCACCTCAGTCACAAAAGCCCCCTAAATGTATTATTATTATTAAACTGTGCTATCTTGCTGACTTTTAACTAAAAACAGCAAAAGAACAAATGCCAATAACACCGTGTGAGGGATGCTGAATCTATTTATTATCTGTTCTTAATTTTAGGAGACAGATTGAAACCTTAGTTACTATTCCAATGTATGTAAAGCAGTGTCCTTTAAGACTTTACCTAGTCTGCCAGGCGTGGTGGCTCACACCTGTAATCCCAGCACTTTGGGAGGCTGAGGTGGGTGGATCACCTGAGGTCAGGGATTTGAGACCAGCCTGGTAAACATGGTGAAACCCCATCTCTGCTAAAAATACAAAATTTAGCTGGGAGTGGCGGCAGGCACCTGTAATCCTAGCTACTTGGGAGGCTGAGGCAGGAGAATCACTTGAACCCAGGAGGCAGAGGTTGCAGTGAGCTGAGATAGCGCCACTGCATTCCAGCTTGAGCAACAGAGTGAGACTCCTTCTCAAAAAAACAAAACAAAAAACCCCAAAAAACAACAAAAAACTTGACCTAGTCAATTTGGGGACCTTCCTGGAGAAGAATGGAGCCACAGAAGTCTGGCAACACAGTGGCCTCAGTGAAGGGGTTGCACCTGCCTGCACCCCACTGACTGACTCACTCTAGCAGAGATTCTGAGGAATTGCAAGGATTTCTATAAAAAGCCTTCCTAGGCTTTGCTGTCCCAGGGTATTAAACACACAGACTGTCCTTTTAATTAGAACTTTAGGAAAATCTCTTAAAAGAAGCAGTTTTCAAGAAATCAAAAAGGTATATCATTTTTATAGGGAAAGACATACTTGATAATCTAAGTGACTGCTAAACAAAAAATATGAATATACTTTTAATATAAATATTTATACCTAAAATTTATATCACACTTTGTTGGCTTTGAAAAGATTTTGTTAAAAGTAACAGAAGGATACACAGGTTATTGAGCAGAATTTTTAATGACAACTTTATCTTATAACAGTGACATAAAAATATCAACCATTAATTTCTCCTATTGACTGCTACAAGTCAATGAGAATACTGGGTAGTTCTGAGCCAGCGTGAGAAATTTTTTCATGTATAGATGCTGCAGATTCACTATTACTCAACACTTTTGTTGAGAACAAACTGGAACCAAAATTTAAGCTTTCTATCAATTACTTAATTCAATCCACTAGTCATTTAAACATTGGTCCTGGATTATTTCCTCAAAGTTGGTGACAATATAGGGGAAAGAACACTCATCTACTACAGATGGCAATGTATGCTGATTATCTTTTAAGAGGAAAATCTGACATCTATCAAAATTTTAAACTTGAATAATCTTTGATCCAGCAATTTCCCCCCAAAATACACACCTAGTGGGCAAGAATATATGTACATAAAGCTGTTCACTGAAACATTATTGAAAAACTAAAGTCACACTATATGTTCATTTATAAGGGAATGGCTAAAATATGGCACATTGATATTTGGGAATATGATGGGCACAGTCTTAAAAAAAAAAGAAAAATGTACTGACATAGAAGGGTTTCTATGATAGACTGCTGAAAGAAAAAACAAGGTTGCAGATCTTTTAGTTTACATAGACTTATCCCTTTTTATTAAACCATACAGACGTGTGTCATGTAAGAATATATTGGTTTAACAGAATATGGATTGCAGGATAAAAGAAAGAATATGTTGGAAAGAATATGCACCAAATTCTTGCCACTTAATACTCCGGGAGTGGTACTGTGAGGTGAAGGAATTTTCATCTTTTTACTTCATACAATTCTGAATGGTTTCAAATGCTTACAATAAATACTTTTAAAATCTAAAAATAAATATTTCTAAATATTTTACATTTTTGAAAGACACAACCATTTTGTAAAATAAGTTAGACTGTAAGAAAAGTTATTCAACAAAGGTATAGTTTTAGATCTTAAACTGGTAGCTCTCTGGAACTTTGAGAATCTAGGAAACTTTAATAGTCTGTTACCATCAGATAGCCCAATATATTACCAGCCAAATAATAAACCGTTAGGGTGTTAAACTCAATATTTAACTCAGGGGACTACCAAAGATTTGTTTCGCAGAGGTAGTAAAATAATTTCAGGGTAGGGATTCCACAGTTGGGAAGTGGAAAGAAACTGCACTTCGTATCTGTGCTGCTGAGGTAAATATTTAAGACTAAATATCAATTTAACTGTGAAAGCAAAAACAAAGAAACAAAAAAGCATCAAATTAAAACCTCAACAAAGTCTGAGAACCATATTTAAGCCCCAAACCATGTTCATCAGAAAAAGACAACTTGTGCTAAATTACACACCAAGGTAAAAATAGGGTGAGGGAACGCGGGAGAGATAGACTAAAGGTAAGAGTCCTAAACACAATCCACCTGCAGCTTTCAAATTTTGGTTTTTTACTCCTACAGTGGCTCAGATGACAACTTGAAAGTCAGGTACAACCAAAGTTGTGATGATTTTCATAACCCTTTTCAAATGTTCTCTGAAGCCACGAATGCAAGTTATCTATCACTTTCCTTTTTCTTTCTCTAGGACCCAGAGACTGGGAATATCTCCCAGGCTCCATGTCCAATTCTGGAGAACAGCCAGGGTAGTTAGCCATCTACGAGGAAGTTGTGAGACGCACAGACTTTCCCTTCCAGAGGACACTTCAGCCGCAAACTGGGCAAATTTGTAGAGTGGAGAGCAGTGACCACCAGTGTCCGACTGGAAATTCTCCGGAAGCTACATAAAACACATCTGCCGAGGTCAAACCAAGCAAACCGAGGCAGTGTACTGGTGAGGAGAAACAGCTGCTAATCCCGAAGTTACAAACACATGCGCGCGAACCAGACCTGAGCCAAACCCACTCAGCAGCTAGCGCACAGCTGGGAGCTCCAAACCAGAAGACAAACGTGCCAGGGAGCTTCCCTGGCCGAGGGGAAGGCCATTCCATGGCATTTTCTCCGCCCTTCCCGGGCAGCCCCAACCAAGTAGCCGCCCCCAGCTCCACCCCATCCCGCTGGGCCATCACCCGTGGAGCCCCGTCGAATCCAGGTGGCCCAGGGCTGAAGGGATCCTCGGAGCAGACCAGAGGTCCACTGCACTCCCGGTCACAGAGAAAGAAGACACATCGGCCGCGCCTCGGGGACATCATACTCACCCCCATAACCTACACCCCCGACTGTGCTGCAGCTCCCATCACCGTCTTCCTTCAGTCGGACGACAGACCCCTGGGTCCGGGGAGCAGCCATTACCCGGCAGAGAAGAAAAGGGAGGGCCACAGGGCGGGGCGGAGGCGGGGCGCCCCCAATAGAAAAGCGACTGGAGGCTAACTCCTTGCCGACGCGACGTTTTCGCCACGCCTACGTCGCGCTCTGGACCAATAGAACGTAGCGAGCAAAACAATCCCCGCCCCAAACCGCAGTTGCCGCGCCCACTTCCGGGATAGGAAGGCCGAGAACTACAATTCCCAGCGTGCCGCGGGGCCCGGGGACGGGAGGGCTGGACTAGGCGCTGGCGGGCGGGGGTGCTCCCGAGAGTGCCCCGGCGTGTTCGCTTAGTTCAGTGAATCAGAACAATGACTGCGCCGCGGGGTCCCCGGGTGCGCGTCGGAGGACTGTGAGCAGCCGCCGCCGGGAGAGCTGCGGGCGGCGCAGTGTCAACGCTGGGCTCGGGAGCCTCCAGCGCAGATCCTGCCCAGAGCCCTCAGCCCGCGCGAAGCTGCCGGGCTCCGGCGCTGCAGCGCGGCTCGGGGACTGTGCATTGTTGTGAGCCGGAGAAAGGGCGCGGGGATTACAAAGCCTGAGGACCCCGAAGCCCCCGTTAGCCATGTGGATACCTACGGAGCACGAGAAATACGGTGTGGGTGAGTCTCCGCCGGGCGAACTTTTATTCCGCTCTGGCCCGAGCGGGTGCGCATTTCTTGTCCTTGCCCCCGCGCCCCTCTCGCTCCGCCTGGCTGAAAATGCCTAATCCTCGCATCGCGCAGCGGGTACCGGGCTTTGCCGAGCCAGCCCCTGCGCACCAGCCTCGGCTTTGCCGAGCCAGCCCCTGCGCACCCCTGCGGAGCGCCGGGACGGCTTTGGGGAGCGCGCGGCCGACCCTCTTGCTTCGGGCTCTGCCTGCGGAGTTTGGAGTGGCTACGGGGCGTGTGTGTTTGTGTGTGTGTGTCAAGTTGGAAGGAGGAGGCGAATGGGGTTTCTCTCCATCCTTACCCGTCTTCCCCAAAGTGACAGGGAGCTGCGACGGTTCCCCTGGGTGGAGAGGGAGACAACACTTGGGCAGAGAGAACACCCCCAAAACAGTAGGGAGGCGCAGACCCTTCCCGCTGGCTCTGATCTACATTCCCGGAGTGTGGAATGTGGCAGGGTCCTGGAGAGAGCCGCTCTGACAGGCTGAGCCCGCTCTGACCCTCCTCCTTCCCTGCGATCCCGGGTTTATGGGGTGTGTATGTTGGGGGGCGGGGGCATTGGTAAATGTCAACATCTGCGCCGCTCGGTTCTTTGGTCTTTGGAGGAGAACGGGTATTTCAGCAGTGTTTTTACTTCTGGCCACCCTCTCGACCCCGGGTGAGCGGCACAGAGCGGTGTGGCGGCACCGGGCTGCGGAGTGATAATGGGGAGGAGGATCGGAAAGCCTGGTTCTTGGGGGCAGGGAGATAGCTTTTAGGAAAGCGAGCCCTGACACTGGCGTTCGGAGAAAAAGGAACAGGATAGCGCTCGCTGTTCTGTGCAAAGGTGAACAACAAAGGACATTAATGTTGACTGATGAATACTGGAGTCTCCCTTCCTTTCCCTCCTCCCATTTCAGCTGGGTTACAGTTCCCGTTTTTGTTGTTTGATTTCAGCTGGGTTGCCCCTTGACAGTTACTCCTTTTAGGGTTGAGACTATTAAGAAGCCAGGCTCTCCGACAAGCCTGCAGCCGGCCAAATGCAATTATAACCTCCCAGAAGGTCTAACAGAGAGAAAGCTTTATGGATTTTACTAACACTCTTTATTTCCTATAATGCCCTGTTCTGCCTACTGGTGTACTTTGTGTGTGTGTGGTTTTTTTTTTTTTTTTTTTTTAATTGAGGACAGATCTAGTGATTTAGATGATGTGTGAATATCTGCTTATGTTCTAAATGCATTTTCTTGCAATTTAAAAAATATGGAAAGTCTTCCTAGGGAGTCATAGAGGGTATTTTTTTTTCTCAACTTTGCCTGGGGATAGGACTTTCGGGTCTACTGAAAGGACTGCAGGATTCAGTAAAGTCATTCTCACATTTTACGTTAGCTTCCATTCTGCATTGTAACTGGTTAGCCAGACAATAGTTTGACCTGAACCCACCTTTGGAAAAGGTTTCCAGCTTTCCCTCCTTTAAAGTGTCAGGGAAGTCTTTGCCAGCCTCTCCATTGGCAAGGAGTAGATGTTAGTGGTTGTTAATTTCCTTCTCCTCACTCTCCTCTTTTTTGGGAGGCAGATTAACCCTTGCTAGGAAAAAGATATTCCCTTTGCTGGACCGGTGAGGGACCAGAGAACATCGCCTCCTAAGCGGCTTCAACACTCAGTACAGGAAGCTCAGATCCATCCAGGCAAAGCTGTCCCGCTTGGAGTCGATCCCAGATGTTGCTTTCTTCCAAGTGTTAAATTATACAGATTATGGATGGGATTTATTTTCTTGATTTCTTCATGTGCCAGGTCACAGCTGGGGTGCTGGTATCGATTAGTTCCTCTCTCGCCTTTCTTTACAAGCTGTGGGCAGAGGCTTAAAAACCACTCTGGGATTTCCTGGAATGGCAAACCGGATATTATCAGTCAAATGTTTTGGGCTGCAGCAGACACCTCGGTTTTTGGGTGGTTGTGATTTGATTGCAGAGTAGGAGAGGCAGAAGGGTGTGCTCATAATTGAGAAAAAGAGGTTGAATGAGATGAAGGGCGAGAGCAGAGAAGGGTCTTCTGCCCAAAATTACTGCTGTTGTTCTCATTTAAACAATATCACATGTGCCAGAATGTTAATTAACCTTTATTATTAATTTTTGAGCATTTGGATTGTGGAATGCTTAGCTGTTTTTTGGAATCCATCTGTTAGGCGTGTGTGTGTGTGTGTGTGTGTGTGTGTAGTAAAATTTTTGCTAGTATACTTAACGTGTAGACTTTATTTTTCACCATGGAGAGCACTGTTTTGTAGCTGCTTATATTGCAAGTTGTTTTTTCTTTCAACCTTGGTTAGTGTATATGTTTTTCTCATGTAGTTCATACAGATGTTAAAGAAAAGAAAAGATCTTATAGGCACAGATCTTTGTTACCGGGTGCAGTGGTAATTCAGTTTCTTCATTCTTTGAAATAAATCAGTCTTTGTAACAGAATACGTGAAGTTTCAATATAAATTATATATTTCTGCAAAGGTACTTTTTATGTACCCTCATTTATGTATGATTATGAAGGTACATAAAATTATGTTTTTATATGTTTACGATTAAATTTCAAGCAGCATATTGTAAACATAGGTAAAATTACTTACATTTTACTACAGACGTAAAATTTATCGGAGATGGAAATTCTTTATCATATCTGATGTATAGGTACTGTCTCAATGATTAAATTCATTAAAAAAATGAATACTCAGTTGTGAATATTCTGATTTTAGGAAAGGTATATTGATGAAGTTACAGTTCTGAGGAACAGGGAACCTTGTCTTTTAGAAATCCTGTTAAGAGGCACAATGATAGGCAATTTCACCCTAGGAGATTCTAGTTGGCTCTTGATTCTGGGCTAGACACTACTGCCAGCTGTATGACCTTAAGTAAATCACTTAGCCTTTCTGCGTCCCAGCCTCTGGGGCTGTTGTTAACTAAAGTCTTGCCTGGTACTAATTTTGTAGAGCTCTTCTAACTAACTGTGGTCCTTTGGTTTGAAAAACATCTTTATTGTGTAGAGTCTGCATGACAGAGATACTTTTGTTGTGACATATCTCATAGGGTTTTTAAGTAAGATCAGAGGTAAGCAAATGCTACCTGGCAAGCTGCCAGAACTGAGGTGATGGTTGCACACTTTCTCAATCTGTCTGCTTCTCTCTAGCAGGAGCTCCCCATTGGCAGTGACTAAAGCATTCTGTTTTTTGTTTGTTTGTTTGTTTAAGTTAGTTCCTTGACAAATAATACATATTTTTTAAGTGTTCTTTTTTTTTTTTTTTTTTTTGGGTGACGGAGTATTTTTGCTCTTGTTACCCAGGCTGGAGTGCAATGACGCGATCTCGGCTCACCGCAACCTCCGCCTCCTGGGTTCAGGCAAGTCTCCTGCCTCAGCCTCCTGAGTAGCTGGGATTACAGGCACGCACCACCATGCCCAGCTAATTTTTTGTATTTTTAGTAGAGACGGAGTTTCACCATGTTGACCAGGACGGTTTCGATCTCTTGACCTTGTGATCCACCCGCCTCAGCCTCCCAAAGTGCTGGGATTACAGGCATGAGCCATCGTGCCCAGCCAAGTGTTTTTTTTTTTTTTTTTTTTTTTTGAGATGGAGTTTCGCTCTTGTTACCCAGGCTGGAGTGCAATGGCGCGATCTCGGCTCACCGCAACCTCCGCCTCCTGGGTTCAAGCAATTCTCCTGCCTCAGCCTCCTGAGTAGCTGGAATTACAGGCACGCGCCACCACGCCCAGCTAGGTTTTTTTGTATTTTTAGTAGAGACGGGGTTTCACTATGTTGACCAGGATGGTCTCGATCTCTCGACCTCGTGATCCACCCGCCTCGGCCTCCCAAAGTGCTGGGATTACAGGCTTGAGCCACCGCGCCCGGCCAGGTGTTCTTTTTTTTAAAAAAAATGTAGAGACGGGTTCTTGCTGTGCTGCCCAGGTTAGAGCACAGTGGCTATTCACAGGCGTGATCATAGCGCACTGTAGCCTGTAGCCTCAAGCTCCTGCTTGATTGCCTCAAGCATTACTCTCACTTCAGCCTCCTGGGTAACAGATTACAGACATGTACCTCCTCACCCACCTGTGTGTGTGTGCGTGTGTGTATACACATATACATATATATGAATATATATGGTATACAATGTGATATTTTGATACATGTTTACAGTTGGAATGATTAAATCAGGCTAATTAACAAATTCCACCTCATACGTTACCAATTTTCGTGGTGTAAAAAACATTTAAAATCCATTCTAGCAATTTTGAAGTACACAATGCATTGTTATTTATGATATCTCCCTTCTATATTTATCACCTCACATCTGTTGGAATGGCTGTATAAAAACAGTGAAAGGTAACAAGTATTGGTGAGAGTATGGACAAAAGGGAACCCTTGTGCACTTGTTAGTGGGAATGTAAATTAATACAGCTATTGTGTAAAACAGCATGGAGGACCTTCATGAACTAAAAATAGAATTACCATAT